ACCTGGGATTGCGATGATGGAGACTTTACATTAACAGTATTTACCGGACGCTCGTATCCAGTAGATGACGTAAAAAAAAAAAGCGCGTTAAAAACTATACTTGCATTTATGATGGGGATAGAGTACAACGGGACAATGAAACGGATGGTTGGAGGCAAGTGACATTATCACCGCGTTTACTAGATTGTCTTTATGGTTCACTGTCTGTCAAACAAAAGTTTTGATAAAACAATCTGTGTGGAGATGGGAGAAAAGGAAATGAGGGACAAGATGAGTGAATGGGGAAAAATCAGAGCATAAAAATTTGATGGAATTTGTTGTAAGTTGTTATACAGTAAAGCTTCTGAAAATTGAAATGCAATGAAATAATTTGTGTGGGGGATGAGGAACGAGGAAACGGGGACGAGGGGGTGTGATATAACATTATTTGAATTTGTCGCAAATCTGTAAGAAAAATTGCATCAAAATCATCTAGGGATGAGGGGACGAAAGGGAACGAGGGAAGGGGATGAAGAGGAACGAGGCAAGGGCATGAAGGGGAACAAAGAGTGAGCAATTTCATTAAAAGCAGGTGTAGAATCTGTAAAAGGAAATTCGTTAGCAAGATGTACATAGTAAAAATACATTGGGATTTTAGCAAGAGGGAGGGGTGGGATGGGGGGTGGGGGAAGGGATAAAGGGCAGAGTAGTTGGATAGAGAATTCCCAGATTTGTTCTTCCATAATTTGAATTGCCTGCAATGAATACGTTAGAGGCTGAAGGAGCTAAAATAGCCGTGTTTGATTTTTTAATATGGTGAAGAGGAGAGGAACGGATGAGGGGACAACAAGATGCATGTGCTAGGTGTATTAGTGCAGCCTGCAGAGACAGGGACGAAAGGGGTACTGTGAGATGCCGATAAGATCGGGCATTTGCTGCAGAATCAGTGTCATAGGTTGTTGGGCGTGATGATGTTGTAGTTGGTGCAGCTAATATTATGGTGAGGATTCAAAGCTGCTGTATTGCAGTTGGAAAATTTCTGAACGATGAAGGGTAGCTTCACTAGTGATCGACATGGAACAAGACTGGAACCATTTTACATTATTAAAATTGTAGTTGAAATTAAGGTCCGTTCTTTCGTTGCGTGTTAGAAATGAATGACAGTACATCGATAGAAAACAGTAAGGCGTGCTGGGTTGAGTCCCTGGATAGCTGAGGACGCAGGCTGGAGGCTGAATTCTGAATCCTAACACTTGAGAGTAGTTCAGTCGGGGCAATGGCTGAGGCAGAAATGGTAATGAGGGCTGTATCCATTCCTGGCCTCAGTGCAAAATTTAAATTACTAAATAACCTTCATCACTAAATAACCTTAATTACCTTAACCATTTATGAGATATTGCATTTAAGTTGCCTTTTTTCCTTCTTATGGAAAGGTCATAAATGACCACTGATCACCTTTCTTGTGTCCATAAATGAAACATTTTACTATGATCTACAATGAGTAAACTATTGTTTGCTTGAGGCACCCATTGGCTAATTTTAGCAGGATAATTGGAGGAAATGACAACTGGCATAGACACAGGTCCTCTGGGACAAGAATTGCGCATGCCAGTTGTGAAATATTATTGCTTTAAGAAATTGCTGATGGGCGAGGTAATCGTAATGACATTATTGACTTGCAAACATGTCGTGAACCCAGAAGTCTTGTTTGGTATTGCTTCAGGTTTATGCCTATGATCCACTTACACTTTCAAGGCTTCCGTGATCGTGGCCAGTCGGAAGCGTTCGGAAGCGCCAGGAACCATCCGAAACTCGCGCAAACAATCGTAGAAAGTCGGAGTGATCGGGGAAAAAATTTTATCCCATGATCCACTAACGCGAGCACTTTCGATTGATTTTTGCCAACGTCAACAATGAAGATGGCGGTTGTTTTTGTAAACGGTGTCTAATTGGCTAATTGCAGTGGAAATATTCGCCACCTTGTTTGTACTTGACAAACCGATACTCCCGCGTCCTTCCGACAACTCATACCTTCCGACAAAATCAAACTGGTTTTATTTTGTCAGAAGAGGGATCCGCATGATCCGATCCAGTCAGAACCTGTCTTATTCACGCGGAAGGGTCGGAACAGGTCGGAAGTCATGATCCACCTACGTCTCGCGCATAACAGAAATTTCCACTCGTAATTGCTTGTACCTGGTCGGAAGGGGAGAATCAGGACAATCGGAGGCCTTAAAATCATAAGTGGATCACGGCCAATAGCATTACAAAAGCAGCTAGCTCAGATTTCTTTGTTGAAACCTCGGCAAATGAAAAGTCCTTTAATCCGGAGCGTGTTGTATATGGCTGACTAGCTAGAGTAGTTTAATTTTTTAAAACTTGGGCAAATAAAAAGCCCGTTAACTCAGAGCGTGTTGAATTCAGCGATCTTGAAGAAGATCTGAAAGAATGGCTATAAGCATGTGCTGGAAGGAGTTGCTGATGGGCAGCGAACGCTGACTGGAGCCACTGAAGTTGTAGCTTTGCTTGGGGGGGAAGACCAGTGAGATGCAGGGAACAGTATTTTTTTGACCCGCAGTCTTGGATGATGGTCTGTCTAATCTGGAACGAGGACAGCGTCTGAACTGGAAGCATTGGAGAATTTGTTGGAATACTTTGGTTCGGTTGAATGATTTACTAAGAGAATATTTTGGTGTTTGATGGTTGAGCTGGCGCTCCGATTCCAGAATCTGTGTCGCTAGGTAAGTCGAGAATGCGTATGGCAAACAAGAAAAAATGTTAACTTTGCGCGAAGCTGGTCAGAGAGAATGCGGGTCCAGTAGACTGCTGGTCTGGTAGAATGCTGGTTATGTCTAATGAGATAGACGAGGATTGTAGAATTAAAGTATAAATAGTCTGGTTGGTTTGGACCTGGATGAATGGAGTGACGTTTTTAGGTGTGGTCTAGTTCACAAACTTGCATGTAGAACTCCATTTCTCAAACAGAAAAACCCTGTCATGTTCCTGACAAGGACTCAAATGCAGAGGCAGGGTTCAATCCAATAGGTCACTTATTGACGGCTTGTACAGTGATTTGGGGATGGAATACTAGCAGAGGAAGAGGGGACGGAACCCCAGACAAGGATAGCACAGTTAAGTAAAGATGTTGTAAGCAAAGCTGCCTTGGAAGGGTTAACAAGAACACGGTCCCAATCCCGGACCCTGATTAGGCTTGGGAGCTTGTTCCTGTTAAATTGGACAGACAGACTGACTTGAGCTGAGTTAACTTGAAGCCGGTCCCAATCCTGGACCCTGAGTGGGCTTGGCAGCTTGATTGAGGTAAATGAGTTAAGAAGAAAGCTTCCACGAATCGCTGTCAATCCAGCAACTTGCAACACAAAGCAAGGGGTTTAAATACACATCGCTGGAACATTAGGAAGTAACCATGAAACAAGATACAGCCAAAGAGTGGTTAGACGCAAGACGTAAACCAATCAAAGGAGACAGACTTCCAATAGACATGGAAGTTGCTGAATAGGAAGAGAGATGAAAGGCATTCACAAGAGAGGTGTGACTCCTAATCACATTAAAATATGCAAATCTTTTACTCTGTAAATGCACAAGTGTCACAGTACAAAAGGCAGAGGCTATTTTTACGCCAGTCGTAAACTTACTCCAATTATCTGTTCTAACGAACCTCCTACACTTTAGCTATTCCTCCCCTCTCTAAACCTCTACCCAGCTGGTTGAAGGTGCAGTAGGCATAAAGAGGACTGGGGATTCCCACAAGTTTTGTTACATAAAAATCTTTGAAATTTCATGGTTTTGCATGGGGATGTATACCATCACAAGGTTCAGTCATGTGGCCTTTTCTAAGGTAAGTATAATTTTTTCATGACAACATTTCGGTGAGTCAGGAAGGTTATATAATGCAGAGTAAAACCGCATTTTGATGTAACAAAATTGAATACACTGCTTTTACTTTGCAAACACCATAAGCTATAAGTTTTTGTCTGGCTATTGAGAACAAAAGACATTTTGCTGCACCTTATTCTGTATATTTATGATGGCTGATGATACCTTTGAATATCATTGAACTATGAATTTTATATTGATTATGAATTAAAAAAAATATGTGACTGGAACAGAGAATTCTGCTACTAAGCTACTTTCCATATGCACATCACTTGCTTTTAAATGTCCTTTGAAAACACCACAAGTAGGGTGAAGTATTGCAGTGCAAATGTTAAATAATAACGGACTTTTGAATCCACAAAAAGTTGTTTAAATACAATTCTGAGAAGATTAGACGGACCCTTAATAATTAATGTGAGGTCAAAAAATTACTATTACTACTGCACTACTGAGTATATGGCTGTCATTCCAATTAGTGCTTTCCAAACTCGGTCCTGGGGGCCCCCCACTGAATGTTGGTTTCTGTTCCAACCACAATAGCCATTAAAACATTTTAACAAGCTGCTAATTTTTCTTAAGTTGGTGCTTTTAATTTTTAGTGGGATTACTTCTCTTGTTGATCAACAATATGCCCCAAAAATTTAACAAACTGTTACCTAAAAAGTGGGAAGATATAAAACACTGAGGTAATAGGCTCCTAACTTGTTTGGTGTCAGTCAGTTTTCTTTCTTTTTTTAAATTTGGCATCTCCAACCCCACCCGAATCTGGAATGCCCAATTGGGGAACTATGTACAAGGCTTGCTCGTACGCGACCCCTTGTTGCCAATTCAGGAGAGTGGGACAGCTCACAGCTCTCCTCCGAAGCACGTGCCCATCAATACTGCTTCTTTACACTCAATGGTTGAATCCTGGCAAGTTCAGAGCGAGGGCGGAGGATACCCGAACATGAACAAGCTTAGAATCTTCCTGACGAGCGCCTGGCTGGCCAACAGGAGGCGCTTGAGCAACAAACAAAGCAACCATTTTTTTATATTTCCCTTCCTGGCAGACCCTTCCCAATTTGCATCCCTGTAGCGTAATGGCCAATTGTGCACTACTTCTGAATAAGCTGCCGACCACTGCCGGTTGGTACGAGCGGGTCTCGAACCCGCGCCGTGCTAGTCACTTCTGCTCCGCAATGCAGTGCTTTAACTGAGTGAGCTATCCGGCAACTAGTAGTCAGTTTTCTTTCTTAAACATCAACACGTAGCAGGTTTTTCTCACTATCAAGTGCTTTGTATTTGAATTGTTCATTATCCACCAGATCATTATGATTGGTGGCCAGGTGTCTGGTCTTTCACCAATCAGTAGCCCACTGATTCAGGTCAGTCTCAGTTTGAACAGGTAGAAATAATTTGCTTCCTTATCGGCAGTGTAGCCCAATAAGCAGTACATGTCCACAGAAAAGTTATTGAATATATCAAGCTATTTTTGATGTAAAGTGATTGGGAAAGCACTCGGTTTGGGAAAATGTACAGCTTGTTTAAATAATTTAATTGCCATAGTAGTTGGAGTGAAAACCAGCACACACAGGGGGGCCTCCAGAACCGAGTTTGTTCAAAATAAACTTATCATCATTAACTGAAGCCGAGCAAACAGGATTCGTTCAGAATTTTTCCAAAGGCTCAATCAGCTGCTCAACCCAACACAGACATAGACACACACACACACACACACACACACACACACACACACACGCGCACACGCACACACACACACACACACACCGGTCGCACACAATTGAAACAAAAAGCTGCAATCTGCCCTTTTTTCATGAGCGCACAAAAAGAACAGTGACTCCATACTGCTGACCTCGGGGATGTCCATGAAAAACAGGAGGGCCGTATCAGAAGACAGAAAAGAGTTGAGAAAAAGACTCTGAGGAGCCACTTCACAGGTGACACCATTAGGGAAATGTCACACAACCAAACTACACAAGGATAAAGAGGGTAAGACAGCACCTGTCCGCGCACCATTTGTCACAGCAATTCTGCTCGTACATGGAACACAGAGAACTATGTGACCATGAAGGCCAGTCACATGATCTGTTCTTCAGTTTGTACAAAAAACTAAATTTACTGCTATGAAAAAATGGCATAAAGTTCTTCATTCCGTCAACATGTCTAACGAGCATTTGCAAGCATTTTAATAGATTAGTACAGTGGGAAATATTTTGTTAAGTTTATTTTTGAATGTGTGCTTAAAAAGGTACGCGTAGAGATCCACAAAAACATAATTTTGAGCTTGCTCAATGTTCCAGTCAGTGATGTGACGTGCACTTCCAGAAGTGTACCTTTACAATGTGTTTTAAAGCCTTTTGAATCTGGCACAACGGCCACAGGACCGGGCTCATTCATCCAGCCTTATGAGCACTGAAAAGCTCATTCATTAAAAAAATCAGCCACTTCCCATTTGCGATGATGTGTGCAGGTCAGAGCTCATCCAGCATGAAATACCAATAACTTGTCACTATACTGGCTGAAGTTTCAAAGAGGCATTCCAAACACGCAATTAGAGACATTTTCCTAGTTCATAAAAAACAAGAAATCTGTGGTCAATTTGAGTAAATGCCAACATTTTACACAACAAAAAACTAGAGGATTGGGCAATCTGGGTAAGTACTTTATGCGTGTTTTAGACGTCTATTTTAGTCATGTTAGTTTACACTTAGTTGCCGCAATTTGACTCATTTCAAGAATCACAAATGGGATATGAAATCATTTGCCACTCAAACACCAATGGGGTTGTCCACTGGAGGAAAGAAATAAGCCTCATTACAGGACTACAACACTAGTTGAGATTTTTTGGCAATTTACTCCGTAAACTTGAAGCCCACTATAAATATTTGAGAAAGCTGTTCTCCAGTATTCGGCAATATGAGAGATCAGGTTTTCATCATTCATTTATTCTGAAAGATATCTAAATGGACAGCTATATATTAATTGTTATTTGCTGAATTTGAAATTGCACTCTGTTTGATGCCTTTCATTGAAAGAAATATTTTAAGTGAAGCATTCCAGTTTTGTTCATAGCTTGAAATTTGTTAATAGTTTTGCAAACTGACTCCTCGTCCAATGATAATATTCTTTTGTAGACTTCTGGATTACAGTCAAGGGCTATTAAGAATATGTAGTGTTTTGTTATGCCTCTGTTCTAATTTAGAACTCTGCTCTCCTTACGCTGTTCTTTATTGTCATGAGATTTTTTAAAAATTTTGAAATCAAACTGATTGAAAAATGTGAAGATTATGTAACGTGTAGTAATATGTTCACGCCGGATCAGCACAGGTCTAGGGGTACGTTTCCTTAAAGCTTAGTTTTGAACTATGCATCTTATCTTTGTTATAACAATGACCTCTGGTTCAAACTATGAAAGTTACTAGCAACTGAGGTTTTGGAAAACGTACCCTAGATCAGCATTAATTAGAGTGAGCAGACTAGAGGAGCAGTTAGGAAACAGATTTGTTTCCCCTTCAAATCTTCAAATAAATTCAGTGAACTTTTTAAGGGGAATTTATGAAAATAAAATTTATCAATGTATACTGTAGCATATCCACTACAGTAATCAGATAGTTCTTTTTATTGCTTTTTTCAGGTTATGACGTTTGTAAGACAATCTATGAGTGCAAAGAGAGAATGAGCATCGCAGGCTGCTACAAGTGAGTCATCACCTGGCAACACTAGAGTCTGGGGCTGGCCAGGGTTCCTGCATGTGTTTATCCATGGGGGAGTAATGTCATTGTCAGTGCACTGCCATTCAGGTAAGGGGCTGTAGGAATTTGGTCCTTTGTGAAGTAAACTGGTAGTCCCAAAGTTCAGGTCAACAACAATTTATTTACAGAGCAAAATAGTCTTCTTTACAGTATGTAACATACCGGGTAAAAGCAAGGCAAGGCAATTACAAATTACTGTCAGTCAGGAAGCAGCTTTATACCTCTCCTGAGGCCAGTGTACCAATGAGGTGACAGGTAACCAAATGGTCATTGTGACATCAGCATCATGTCTGCTAACTTTTCCTGATGAACTGTCAGACACCCCCCTGTGTGCTTCCTTGTTCCCCGTGGGTCTAAAGACATCAACAGTCATGCATACTGAGGCCCATTGTTCTAACCTGTTGGTTATTGTCACCTCTACGTGTGTTTGTCTGCATCCCATTTGGTTGCAGTGAGACTTGAGTTACCACCCCCCTTGATAAGTTCCCATCCCCAGGAAGCCAATCCCGGTTCAAGTCAACACCTTGGCACATTGGGGAAGCTTTGATCTACTAAAATGCCTTACAGGGCATAGGGCAAATGGACTCTACTACTTTTAAGTGCAAAAAAAAAAAAAAATGAATAAACATACAATTTATACAAAATAAAAAATTTTAAGAGCATAGGGCTAAATTTCCACAGGCTCAAGATATCAGCAGCATGTCAGGTAAATGCAATTTCCCCTTAAGTAAAAGAATTTTAAAAGTGAACATAAAATATTCAAAATTATTTTTGTCCCAATAAATTAATTTTAGTTTGTCACAGATGCATATATTTTAGTTGGTTTTGATTTGGTGTAAAAGACAAAACCTAGACATTCATATCACAACCTCAGTGCTGTCTGATTATGTCTCCATATTTCCGGTTTTGATGTGTAAAGCTTTCAGTATTCAACATGATGGAATTTGTCCCTCCTTCATCAACTACATCTAATATTTGGTGGTTAACAGTAAATGTGTTAATACTTCATAATGAACATTCAACTTAGCTGAAACTGGTTGAGGATTTTTGAGGAAATGAACATTTTTCACTTGGAGATAGTTCTTTCTGAAACTTATGGTAACTTTGAATTTCTGTTATTTTGTCCAATATCCAGGGAGTGCACATCTTCTAGGCCTTCTTTTTGATTCTTGCCTTGAGGAATGCACCTCCCTAAAAGGTGTAAGACCACACCTCCAGCCATCTACCTCACCGGTCTATTAAGACACAGACTGCATTCCTCACTCCAGTAATCATTGCCTGCATCTGTTTGTCATTTCCACTGTGTGGTAATGTTGCTATATAAGACCGAGCCTCTCACTCATTCTTCGTGAAGTCTTGTAACCGCATACCTGTGTTGCATTCATAGTCTTTGTATAGACGTATTTCCCCGCGTATCGCGGATATATATTTTACTCTTTAATCTTAGTGCTGTTATCGCTTATTTCAACACTTTACCCAGGAACCTATTTTCCTGTTTTTTTCTATTTGTAATACATTGTTGCTGCAGCTAAGGCCCAGAGTCTGTATTACCTATAGTATTTCTAAGGAACCTTGATTCCTGCTTGTTTTGTGTTGCTTCGTTCATGTCTTCTGCTGCGCATTAGGCATGATAAATACTACCAAGTCCATCCTTGCACCTGAGTCCAGTCCTCAACTTCCTGCCTTCCGTGCACCTGAACTGCGTACGAAGCATAACCTTTACAGATGACTTCATCACAGTACGGACTCAGCAAGGATTCCTTTGCCTCCAGAGGTTGGAGAGTTTGCTGCCCAGCCTCCTGACCTCTAACACCTGATGGCAGAACAGCAGAGGGAGATCGCCCATCTGGGGGCTATCCTAGAACAACAGGCTCGCGGGGTACGCAATCTCTCCATCTCCCACGCTCCACTGCCACCACAGACCCCAGCCTCTCCTGCTGGAACGCAGGCTCCTTCAGCTGTTCCCTGGGGTGATTCGCCAGTGCACCTGCCAGAGTGTTATGACGGAAACCGCACTGCGTGCAAAGGCTTCATTCTTCAGTGTGCCCTGTACTTCGCTTACCATCCAGCCCTGAGTGAAGCAGAGAACATTGCCGCAGTGGTGACTAGCCTCTCTGGCAAGGTGCTTGACTGGGCAATTACTGTCTGGGGGGAATCGGCTTTTTCCACCGATCCCAGCAGTTTCACTCAGTCTTCGACCACCCCGGGAAGAAGGCTGAGGACCAGCTGCTGGACCTGTGCCAAGGAACCAAGACTGAGGCTGACTATGCCCTTGGCTGCAGCCAGCGGCTGGAGTGAGCCTACATAGCTGACTATCTTCTGTAAGGGGCTGTGTCCAGAGCTCAGGGCAGAGATGGCCTGCAGGGACTTAGAGCTGTCCCTGCCATCATACATCAACGCAGCCATCAGCCCGGACCAGCTCCTGCAGGAGAGACGGCAGGCCCAGCCCAGAGGCTCCACC